GGGGGGCACATGATGAACCCCATACTGTTATGTTTGCAGTCTCCCCTACTTAAGATAGGGGCACATGATGGACCCTGTATTCGGTCATATTTACGGTAAACCTTTCTTAGAGGGAGGCACATGATCGACCCCGAATGGGGCCATATTTGGGGTCCCTCCTTGGAGATGGGCATGACTGACCCCGTATTGGGCCATATTTGGGGTCCCTCCTTTTTGGAGGTGGCCACATGACTGACCCTGTATCCGGCCATATTTGTAGTACCTCCTTGGAGATGGGCACATGACCGACCCGTATTCGGCCATATTTGGGGTACCTCCTTCTTGCAGATGGGCACATGACCAACTCGTATTCAGCCGTATTTGGGGTGCGTCCTTTTTGGAGGTGGGCACATGACTGACCTCGTATTCGGCCATATTTGGGGTACCTCCTTGGAGATGGGCACATGACTGACCCCATAGTTGGCCCTATTTGGGGTGCCTCCTTCTTGGAGAGGGCCACATGACTGACCCCATAGTTGGCCATATTTGGGGTACCTCCTTCTTGGAGATGGGCACATGACTGACCCCATAGTTGGCCCTATTTGGGGTGCCTCCTTCTTGGAGAGGGCCACATGACTGACCCCATAGTTGGCCATATTTGGGGTACCTCCTTCTTGGAGATGGGCACATGACTGACCCCATATTCGACCATATTTGCAATATTCCCTTCTTAGTCCAAATTTGGCCATATTTGCTATACCCCTTCTCAGAGGGGGTTACACAACTGACCCCAAATTCAGCCATATTTGTGGCACTCTCTTATCGGGGGGGGGGGGCAGAGCTGACCGCGTATTCGGCCATATTTGCAGTATTCCCTTCTTAGAGGGAGGCACAGGATGGACCTTGTATCCAGCCATATTTATGGTACACCCTTATTGAACGGCACATGTGTAAGACTGTAGGATCTCTATAGCAATATTAAATGATCACTCACAAGCCGGTTTTGCTTGGAAATGAATATATTGCTTGTATCTCTTCAGCAAAGAAAGACACTACGGACTTGTTCCCACCACCACGTCCTTTTAGACACCTTTCCTGCCCACCTCCCCCCTCTTCTCAGTTTCCTTATTAGAACTTGTTGAACAGCCAGGATGATTCAGTCAGGATGTCATGGAGGGAATTTGTGATGTCTTCATGCCCTCAGAAATTGACTCCTGACATGACCGCCCCCTAATTTGACCATATTTGCAGTACCCCTTTCTTAGATACTTAGCCATACTTCCAGTATTTCCTTCTTGGGGAGAGACACACGACTGACTCTGTATTTGGCCACATTTGCGATACCTCCTTAGCACGGAGCACATGACCAACCCTGTATCTGGCCATGTTTGCAGTACCCCCTTCTTAGAGGGGGGCACATGACCAGCCCCATATCCGGCCATATTTATGGTATACTCTTATTTGAGGGGGGACATGACCGGCCCCATATTCAGACATATTTGCAATACCCCTTTTTTAGAGGGGGGCACATGACCAACCCCGTATCCGGCCATATTTATGATACACTTTTATTGGTGGGGGGGGGGTTGACCAACTCCATATTTAGACATATTTGCAATACCCCTTTCTTAGAGGGGGGGCACATGACCAACCCTGCGTCTGGCCATTTATCCGTGTATTTATGGTACACTCTTATTGGGGGGGGGGGGGAATGACCAACCCCATATTTGGACATAATTGCATTTCCCCTTTTAGAGGGGGGCACATGACTGACCCCGTATCTGGCCATATTTATGGTACACTCTTATTGTGGGGGGGGGGGACATGACTGACCCCATATTCGGATATGTTTGCATTACATCCTTCTTAGAGGGGGGCACATGACCGACCCTGTATCTGGCCAAATTCATGGTACACTTATTGGAGGGGCGACATGACTGACCCCATATTTGAAGTACCCTCTTCTTAGAGGGGGGCACATGACTGACCCCGTATTCGGCCATACTTATGGTACACTCTTATTGGAGGGGGGACACAACTGACCCTATATTAGGCCATATTTCTGGTACCCCCATCTTGGAGGGGGGTCACATGATTGACCCTGTATCCGGCCATATTTATGGTACACTCTTATTGGAGGGGCAACATGACCGACCCCATATTCGGCCATATTTGAAGTACCCTCTTCTTAGACGGAGGCGCACGATTGACCCCAAATTATATCATAATATCAGTAATATTACATGTAATATAAATTTATAATTATATCATACTATTCTTATATTGCATTAAATTATAATATTATAAATATATGTATATACATTATATTATTAGTAATATTACATGTAATATAAATTTATAATTATAATATCAAACTATTATTATTTTGCATTACATTATATTATAAATATACATATATACAATATATTATAAGTAATATTACATGTAATATAAATTTATGATTATAATATACTATTATTATATTGCATTAAATTATATTATAAATAGTATATGTATATACAATATATTATATATTAACTATTTTAATAGTATTGCTGTTATAGATTATTATATTATTTTATATTAGTATGTTATTTTAAATTTTAATATATTATTCTTCTAATATTAACATTTATTATTATTTATTATTATTATTATTATTATTATAGAATCCTAGACTTGGAAAAGACCTGCTGGGACCTCAATACACACACTTCAATGCCACCAAATGCAAAGAATGCTGGGAATCAGAGTCCTCCATACATATGCTTCAATGCAACCAAACATGAGGACTGCTGGGCCTTGTTGTCCTCAATGGAAGCCCTTCCACACAACTAGAAGTGAGGGACGCTGGGCCTTGTTGTCCCCAATGGAAACCTTCAACCCAAACAAAGGTGAGGAACACAACACTGAAGTCTTCAATGGAAACTCTTTAATGAAACCAAAGGTGAGGAACGCTGGGCATCGGAGTCCTCAATACACTTCAATGGAATCAATGGAGAGGACTGCTGGGCCTTGGAGTCCTCAGTGGAAACCTTTCAACACAACTAAAGGCATGGATACACACACGTAAAGCCCTCAATGGAATAAGCCACTCTACACAATCAATAGTGAGGAATGCTGGGCTTTGGAGTCCCCAATGGTCATGTTTCAACACAACCAAAGGGCGAAGAATGGTGGGCATCGGAGTCCACAATACATATGCTTCAACAGAAGCAAAGGTGAGGAACACTGGGCCTTGGAGTCCTCCCTGGCATGGGTGTCCTCAATACAAACGCTTCAATGGAAGCAATGGTCTGGAATGCTAGGCCTTGTAGTCCTCAATACAGACACTTCAAAACAACCAATGGTGAGGAACACTGGGCTTTGTAATCATTGTCTGATAGGCTTCAACACCTCGAAAGGTGAGGAATGCTAGGCAATGGAGTCCTCAATGTCTATGTTTCAACACAACTAATAGTTGAGAATGCTGGGCTTTGGGGTCCTTGGTGGAAGCCATTCAAGACAATCGACACTGAAGAATGCTGGGCCTTGGAGTCCTCAAAGGACATGCTCCAATATAGACAAAGTTGAAGAGCACTGGACCTTGAAGTCCTTGATTAACAGGCTTCAACACTATGAGGTGAAGAATGCTGGGCCTCGGAGTCCTTGATTGACAAGCTTCAACACAATGAGGTGAAGAATGCTGGGCCTTGAGGTCCTTGATTGACAGACTTCGACATAATGAGGTGAAGAATGCTGGACCTTAGTCCTTGATTGACAGGCTTCAACACAATGAGGTGAAGAATGCTGGGCCTTGGAGTCCTTGATTGACAGGCTTCAACACAATGAGCTGAAGAATGCTGGGCCTCAGAGTCCTTGATTGACAAGCTTCAACACTATGAGGTGAAGAATGCTGGGCCTTGGAGTCCTTGTTTGACAGGCTTCAATACAATGAGAGGTGAAGAATTCTGGGCCTTTGAATCCTTGATTGACAGGCTTCAACACTATGAGGTAAAGAATGCTGGGCCTCAAAGTCCTTGATTGACAGGCTTCAACACAATGAGAGGTGAAGAATCCTGGGCCTTGGAGTCCTTGATTGATAGGCTTCACCACAATGAGAGGTGAGGAATGCTGGGTCTTGGAGTCCCTGATTGACAGGCCTCAACGCAATGAGGTGAAGAATGTTGGGCCTTGGAGTCCCTGATTGACAGGCTTCAACACATTGAGAGGTGAAGAATGCTGGGCCTCAGAGTCCTTGATTGACAGGATGCAACACATTGAGAGGTGAAGAGTGCTGGGCCTTGGAGTCCTCAACGACCACAAGAAAAGGAGTGCTTGATTGACAGGCTTCAAAGCAACCAATGGCAAGGAATGCTGGGTGTTGTAGTCCCCATTGGGCTCTCAGTCCAGCTCCTCAATGAGGGCCTTCTCCTTCTTCTCCTCCCTCGGGGGCCTCTTTCCCCGCCACTTCCTCTCCAGCCCCCTCCGCAGGGCGCCCACTTCCTGTCCCGCCTCCCTCTGGCTCCGCCCCTCTTCCCGCGCAGCCAATGCCAGGAGGGGCAGCAGTCCTTCGTTCTCATTGGCCCAGGAGAGCAGGAAGGCGCACTTCTTCCCGGCCCGGAAGGCCTGGCTCCGGTCCGGGTCCGCCATGCGCTTCCTCCCTTTGCGGAGGAGCTTCCCGAGGTGGCACAAGGCCGCCAAGAGAAAGGCCTTCTGGGAAAGGAGCCTGGCCACGGCGGACATGGCCCCGCCCCGACCCAAAGGGCACTCTGGGTAACGATGGTCCACCATGCAACGGGAGGCGTCCTGCAAGGCTTCCGAGACGGATCCGTACACCCTGGCCGAGGATCCCAAGGGCGGGGAGACGTCCAGAAGGGTCTCGCAGAACTCGCCCAGAACGTCCTCTTCGCCCTCGACGTCCCCGTTGTAGAGAGACAAGGCGTAGACGTAGCCGTAGAGGACGCCCGGAAGCTGGAAGCCGACGGAAGGAGAGACTGAGGTCCTGAAGGACGACAACGGAGGGATCTCGGGAGGGATCAACCTCAAGAGGCGAGCGGCCTCCGTCTCACAAAGAGGCTTCGCGGGACCTCTCGGGACGCCTTCTTCTTCTTCTTTGCCTTGGGATGGACTCTCGAGACCCCTTTCGTCCATCAAAACATGTTCTTCTGCTTCTAGTGGATCCCGTGGATCCGCTTTCTCAATGAAAGCACCTCGTAATGGCTTCTGGGGATCTCTTTCCTCAATGAAATCACCTTGCAATGGATTCTGGGGATCCTTTTGCTTAACTCGATCACGTTCTTCTGCTTTGAATGGATTCTGGGGATCCGTTTTCTCAATTTCGTTAATTAGATCACTTCCTTCTCTTTCCTTCTGGGGATCGATTTCCTCAATCAAAGCCCGTTTCCCTCTTGGTAATGGATCAATTTCTTCAGTGAAAGCACATTGTGATGGATTCCGGGGATCCATTTCCTTGAGTACATCACTTTCTTCTCTTTCTAAGATCTTCCGGGGATCCATTTCCACAATGAGATCACAGTCTTTCCTTTCTAAGGTCTTCCGGTGATCCGTTTCCACAATCAGATCCCATTTCCCACCTTGTAATGGATTCCGGGGATCCATTTCCTTGATTAGATCACTTTCTTCTCTTTCTAAGGGCTTCTGGGGATCCATTTCCACAATGAGATCACAGTCTTTTCTTTCTAAGGGCTTCCGGGGATCCGTTTCCTTGAGTAGATCACTTTCTTCTCTTTCTAATGTCTTCTGGGGATCCATTTCCACAATCAGATCACTTTCTTCTCTTTCTAAGGTCTTCTGGTGATCCATTTCCACAATCAGATCCCATTTCCCTCCTTGTAATGGATTCAGGGGATCCACTTCCTCAGCTAGATCACGGTTTTCGCCTCCTGTGACCTGGGGACCCCTTTCCTCCCCTCTCAGTGGATTCTGGGGATCCCCTGGCTCAATTAGATCGCCTCCCCCCGCTTTGGGTGGATCCCGGGGACCCACTTCCCGGACGAGTCCCCTCGGGGCTGGGCCTTCTTCCCACCAGGGGGTCCAGAGGGGCACGAGGGAGGCGGCGCCGCCGCTGCCGAGGAGCTTCCGGAAGGCCTTCTGCTCCTCCGGGGTGAGCTGCTCCCACAGCGGCGCTTCTTCCGGGCCGAGGCCTAGTCGGGCCTGCTCATCCCCGGGCTCGCGTAGCTCCCTCAGCCGCAGGAGGGCCTCCCTGAGCCGGCCTCGCGAGGAGGCCTCGCCGCCCCGCAGGCCTTGGAGCCGGAGGCGGAGCTCGCGCTCGCGGAAGTCCCTGGCGCAGGAGCCGTGGCCGCGGAAGCAAGGCACCGAGCAGAAGCGGAGCAGGCACCGCGGGCACGTGTACGGCGCCCGCGAGGAAGGGCAGAAGCCACACCGAAGGAGGTCCCCGCCGCCGGAGACGGGCCTCGAACTCGCAGACTCCATGCTGGGCGGAAACAGCCGAAGCGTCTTCGGGAAGTTCCGCCTACTTTCGGGAAGCTCCGCCTCCTCGACGCCTTCCAATCAGAAGTTTCGTTCCACCTAGGCGGGGCTTCGGGCCTTTCCGTCCACACTCCCTCTCACGTTCGTCGCACCTTCGGAGGTTTCCGTCAACACTCGCGCCATCTCCCTTCCGCTCACTTCGGGCCTTCCCGCTCCCATTCGGAGGACCATTTCACTTCGGGTCTTCCCGTCAACGCTCTCCCTCATTCGTCAAACTTTCGCTTCACTTCGGGGTTTTCCGTCAACACTCGCGCCATCTCCCTTAGGCAGGGCTTCGGCTTACTTCGGGCCTTTCCGTCAGCGTTCCCGCTCCCATTCGAAAAGCCGCCTTCCTTTCGCTTCGGGCGTTTCCGTCAACGCTCGCGCTCTTTCCCGAGGGAGGCTCCGTCCGAGCTCGGCTCTTTCCGTCAACTCTCAGGTTTTCGTTCCTTTCACTTCGGGCGTTTCCGTCGATTTGGAAGTTTATATTGCAGAAAATTATCTTCAGGTTATATGGGTGTACATATAAATATTGTGTGTGTGTATGTATATATACATACACACTATATATATGTATGTACACACACACTATATATATATACACATATACATACACAATATTTATACACACACATATAAACGTATTGAAATAGCATATATATGTATTTTGGGTATGCAGTTGCACACATGCATATATATATATATACACACACACACACACGGGATTTGGATGTGTGATTGAATATATACTCTATATACACACACACTATATATACTATATATACAGTATATATTCAACCACACATCCAAATCCCATGTATGTATGTATCTATATATATGCATGTGTGCAATTACATACCCAAAATACACATATATATGCTATTTCAATACATATGTAATTACATAAAAAATCCCTAGTGTGTATATATATACATATATGCAATTACAATATATATAAAATTACATATCCAAAATCCCAAGTGTGTGTATATATATATGTATGAATGTGTATTTACAATATATGTATATATACAATTACATATCCAAAATCCATATATAAATGCAATTACTCTCTCTCTCTCTATATATATATAATCTGTTTTTGTGTATTTTATGTATATTGTTTGTCCTCCATGGTGTAAGTATTAAATAAGTATATGTGTCTATGTGTGTATATATATATATGTATACACACACATATAACATACACATATGCATCTTTCGTAATGTATTTAATAATTTGGTTTTTATGTATGTTGTTCTTCAACGGTGTAAGTATTAAATAAGAATAAACATATATACATATATATGCAATTACATATCCAAAATTCATATATATAAATATATATGCAATTACAATACATATCCAAAATCCCAAGTGTGGATACATATATATGTATACACACACACACACACACACACACACACACATATATCTCACACACACGTATTTCATAAAGTATTTAATAATCTGGTTTTTATGTATTTCTCCTCCATGGTGTAAGCATTAAATAAGAATATATGTCTCTCTATATAGGTAAAGGTAGTCCCCTGACATTAAGTCCAGTCATGTCTGACTCTGGGGTGTGGTGCTCATCTCCATTTCTAAGCCGAAGAGCCAGCGTTGTCCGTAGACACCTCCAAGGTCATGTGGCCGACATGACTGCATGGAGCGCCGTTACCTTCCCGCCAGAGCGGTACCTATTGATCTACTCACATTTGCATGTTTTCGAACTGCTAGGTTGGCAGAAGCTAGGGCTGACAGCGGAAGCTCACGCCGCTCCCCGGAATCGAACCTGCGACCTTTCGATCAACAAGCTCAGCAGCTCAGCGCTTTAACCCACTGCGCCACCGGGGGCTCATGTCTCTCTATATATGCATATGTATATATGTTTTTATATATCCATATGGATGTATACACATTTGTAATTCCATATCCAAAATCCCAAGTGTTCATAACAGTTTAAATGGTAAAATTATTGTCACACAACCCCAGGATAATAATAATAATAATATTATGAAAACATTATCATTATTATTTTATTTTAGTGACATACTATGTTTTGTTGTTTTTCAAATATTATTATTATTATTATTAATAATAATAATGTTTTCCGAATGTCTGTTTTGATCCTTCCGTTTTATTTTTTCAAATAATAATAATAATAATAATAATAATAATAATGATAATGTTTTCCAAATGATGTCTTGTTTTGATCCTTGTGTTTTATGGTCTGCGCTGCGTATGTTGCTCTGTTTGGAGCCTGTTCTGCAAACACAAAGCACGCTTCTGACAATTATGATGATGTGTTTATTGATTGGTCAGAGAGAGTGTTGGGCGGGGCTTAGGAGTTGGCGTTGGGCCCCTTCTTCTTCCCGAACCCGGGCACCACGTTGACGAAGCGCCGGTTGTACTGCATGCGCCGCTTGGCCCGCCCCGTCTTCTTCTTCTTCTTCTCCTGCTTCGCCACCTAAAGGAAGGAAGGAAGGGACGTATACGTATGATATAGACTGAGCTGGGTAATAATGGAATTCTAGAATAATTAGGACACCATTTAATACCTCCCAACAGATGGCCATCCAGACCACCTAAATAATAATAATAATAACAACAGATGGGTCATCCAGGAACGTATACATATGATATCTAGAATTGAAAGGGTCCCCATTCAGTCCCTTCTTCATAATAGTTATAGTAATAATACTAATACTAATAATAATACTAATACTAATAATAGAATCCTATTATTGAAAGGGTCCCCATTCAGTCCCTTCTTCATAATAGTTATAGTAATAATACTAATACTAATACTAATAATAATACTAATACTAATAATAGAATCCTATTATTGAAAGGGTCCCCATTCAGTCCCTTCTTCATAATAGTTATAGTAATAATACTAATACTAATACTAATAATAATACTAATACTAATAATAGAATCCTATTATTGAAAGGGTCCCCATTCAGTCCCTTCTTCATAATAGTTATAGTAATAATACTAATACTAATACTAATAATAGAATCCTATTATTGAAAGGGTCCCCATTCAGTCCCTTCTTCATAATAGTTATAGTAATAATACTAATACTAATAATAATACTAATACTAATAATAGAATCCTATTATTGAAAGGGTCCCCATTCAGTCCCTTCTTCATAATAGTTATAGTAATAATACTAATACTAATAATAATAATAATAATAATAGAATCCTATTATTGAAAGGGTCCCCATTCAGTCCTTTCTTCATAATCCCAAAGGCCATCCAGCAACTGCTTAAATAATAAGGACACAATTTGATCCCTCCCAACAGATGGCCATCCAGACCTTAATAATAATAATAATAATAATAATAATAATAATAATAATAATAGGACACCATCTAATCTATCCCGACAGATGGTCATCCAGGGACGTATACGTATGATATAGACTGAGCAGGGAGGGAACCCCAAAGGACATCCAGACCAACCCCCTTCTGCTATGGAAAGGGAGGAAGGGAAGGGAAGGGAGAGACCCCAAGGGCGATCCAATAATACTAATACTAATAATAATAATAGAATCCTATTATTGAAAGGGTCCCCATTCAGTCCCTTCTTCATAATAGTTATAGTAATAATACTAATACTAATAATAATACTAATACTAATAATAGAATCCTATTATTGAAAGGGTCCCCATTCAGTCCCTTCTTCATAATAGTTATAGTAATAATACTAATACTAATAATAATAGAATCCTATTATTGAAAGGGTCCCCATTCAGTCCTTTCTTCATAATCCCAAAGGCCATCCAGCAACTGCTTAAATAATAAGGACACAATTTGATCCCTCCCAACAGATGGCCATCCAGACCTTCTAAATAATAATAATAATAATAATAATAATAATAATAATAATAATAGGACACCATCTAATCTATCCCGACAGATGGTCATCCAGGGACGTATACGTGTGATATAGACTGAGCAGGGAGGGAACCCCAAAGGACATCCAGACCAACCCCCTTCTGCTATGGAAAGGGAGGAAGGGAAGGGAAGGGAGAGACCCCAAGGGCGATCCAATAATACTAATACTAATAATAATAATAGAATCCTATTATTGAAAGGGTCCCCATTCAGTCCCTTCTTCATAATAGTTATAAGTAATAATAATAATAATAATAATAATAATAATAGAATGCTACAGTTGGAAGGAAATCCCAAAGGCCATCCAGCAACTGCTTAAATAATAAGGACACAATTTGATCCCTCCCAACAGATGGCCATCCAGACCTTAATAATAATAATAATAATAATAATAGGACACTATCTAATCTATCCTGACAGATGGTCATCCAGCCACCGCTTAGTAATAAGAATAATAGGGCACCTTCTAATCCCTCCCAACAGATGGCCATCCAGACCTTAATAATAATAATAATAATAATAATAATAATAATAATAATAATAATAAGGCACTATCTAATCTATCCTGACAGATTGCTATCCAGCCACCAGTTAGTAATAATAATAATAAATAATAGGACTCCATCTAATCCCTCCCAACAGATAGCCATCCAGACCTTCTTAACAACAAGACACCACCTAATCTATCCTGACAGATGGCCATCCAGCCACTGCTTAGTAATAATAATAGGACACCATCTAATCCCTCCCAACAGATGACCACCTAGACCTTAATAAAAAGACAACATCTAATCCATCCTGACAGATGGCCATCCAGGCACCACTTAGTAATAAAAATAATAACAACAATAATTAATAATAATAATAATAGGGCACCATCTAATCCCTCCCAAGATGATCACCCAGACCTTCTTAACAACAAAACACCTTTAATCCATCCTGACAGATGGCCATCCAGCCACTGCTTAGTAATAATAAGAAGACACCATCTAATCCCTCCCAACAGATGGCCATCCAGCCACCACTTAGTAATAATAATAACAGGGCACCATCTAATCCCTCCCAAGATGGCCATCCAGACCTTCTTAACAACAAGACACCATCTAATCAAACCTGACAGATGGCAATCCAGCAACTGCTTAGTAATAATAATAGGACACCATCTAATCCCTCCCAAAAGATGGCCACCCAGACCTACTTAATAACAACAGACACCATCTAATCAACCCTGACAAATGGCCATCCAGTCCCTGTTTAATAATACAATAGGAATAGAGTTCTAGATGTTGAGGGCCATCAGGTGATAATAGAAGAACCGTTCAGTTGGAAGGGATCCTCAAAGGCTATCCAGTCCAGCCCTTTTCCGCCAGGCAGGTAAAGCACCACCAAAGCCTTCCCCACAGATGGCCGCCCAGTCTCATAGAGAGGATTTGGAAAGGATCCACAAAGGCCGCCCACGTCCTTCCAAGCCCCCCGGACTCCAATCAATGAGTAATGAAGTGCCCCATTTCGTGGCTTACCTTTGGGGTCTGGCCCCTCACTTTCCCCGCACGGGCCAAAGAGCCATGGACCTTCCCTGCAGAGGAGGGGAAACAAGGGGCAAAATCAGGGCCCATGCATTCGCATATTATTATTATTATTATTATTATTATGGTGTGGCAGTTTGCGTTTGTATACTAAATAATAATAATATAGTTATGTGATTTTGTGATACAAAATCCAGCATATATATCTCATTTGCTGTGACATACTGTGTTTTTGTGTCAGTAAAATATTATTATTATTATTATTATTATTATTATTATTATTATTATTATTATTATGTGTAGTAGTAGTTTATTCGATGCTTAGACCATAGGTCTTTCACGTACAAGGCAAGGCAAATAAATAAATACATGAACACCAGATTATTAAATACAATGTAAAATACACAATAAAATCCTATAAATCATTAAAATGCTATATATTATGTGACAGTTTGTGTATACTAAATAATAATAATGTGATTTTGTGATACAAAATTCAGCATATATATCTCATTTGCTGTGACATACTGTGTTTCTATGTCAATAAATTATTATTATTATTATTATTATTATTATTATTATTATTATTATTATGTGACAGTTTGTTTGTCCTTACCGCCCAGCATGCGCGCGGCCACCTCCAGGGTGCTGTGGGCGGTGACCCCGCATTGTCCAATTACGGCATCGTCCTCTAAGGGGGCCCCACCCACAAGAAGGACCTGCTCCTCCGCTGCAAGGCCCGACAAGGCCTGGATCTGGGCCTGGAAGGGAAGGAAGGGGAGGCAGGCACTTAGAAGCAGGAAGCAAGAGGCCTCTCCCTCCTCCCCACCACCTCCACCTCATCTACCTATCTATCTTTCAATCCATCCACCCACCCGCTTTTCATACACACACAATCTGCAATCTGGTCTATCACTCTAATCCATCCATCCATCTGATGCTTTTCATACACACATGGCACCTTATCTCTTTCTCTCTCTCTATCCACCCCCCATCTATCAATCTATCCATCCATCCATTTGTCCACCTATCCATCCATCTATCCATCTATCCATTTGTCCACCTATCCATCCATCTATCCATTTGTCCACCTATCTATCCATCTCTCTATCTAGTCTATCCATCCATTTGTCCACCTATCTATCCATCTCTCTATCTCTATCTATCTATCTATCTATCCATCCATCCATTTGTCCACCTATCTAGTCTATCCATCCCTTTATCTATCCCCCTATCCATCCATCCAACTATCCATTTGTCCATCTATCTATCTATCTATCTATCTATCTATCTATCTATCTATCTATCTATCTATCTATCTATTCCATCCATCCATCCATCCATCTGTCCACCTATCTAGTCTATCCATCCCTTTATCCCCCTATCCATCCATCCATCCATCCAACTATCCATCCATCCATTTGTCCACCTATCTATCCATCCATCCATTTGTCCACCTATCTAGTCTATCCATCCATTTGTCCACCTATCTATCCATCTCTCTATCTATCCATCCATCCATTTGTCCACCTATCTAGTCTATCCATCCATTTGTCCACCTATCTATCCATCTCTCTATCTATCTATCCATCCATTTGTCCACCTATCTAGTCTATCCATCCCTCTATCTATCCCCTATCCATCCATCTATCTATCCATCCATTTGTTCACCTATCTATCCATCTCTCTATCCCTCTCTATCCATCCATCCATCTATGTCCATCCATCCACCTATCTAGTCTATCCATCCACCTATCTAGTCTATCCATCCATCCATCCATCCCTATTTATCCATCCATCCATCCATCCCTATCTATTTATTCATTTGTCCACCTATCTGTCTACCCCCCCCCCCCCCATCTATGCATGCATGCATGCATGCGTCCATCCATCCCTCTCTCTCTATCTCTATCCATCCATCCATCTGGTGCTTTTCACACACACACAGATAGCACCTGCAATCCAACCTATCTCTCTATCGATATCTATCCACCTATCTATCTATCTGGTCCTTTTTTTACACACACACACACAGAACATCTGCAATCTGATTTATCTTTCTATTCTATTTATCTATATAGCTCTCTATTTCTATCCATATTTATTTATGTATTTACAACACTGATATGCCGGCCTTCTCACCCCGAAGGGGACTCAGAGCGGCTTACAAGGTATATATACATACAATATATTATATTATTAGCATAGTACAATATCAGTATTGTATATTATTATATTGTGCTACACCATTCTATTGTAATATTATTACCAATATTACAATATAAAATATATAATTATAATATTGTATTATCAGTAGTATTATATTGCATTACATTATAATATTATAAATATTATATGTATATACAATATATTACTAGCATAGTACAATATCAGTTTTATATATTGCTATATTGCATTATACCATTATATTGTAATATTATTAGTAATATTAGATGCAATACAAAATATATAATTAAAATATTGTATTATTATTAGTATTATATTGTTTTACATTATAATATTATAAATATTATATGCATATACAATATATTACATTATTAGCATAGTACAATATCAGTATTATATATTATTACCAATATTACATGTAATATAAAATATATAATTATAATGCAATACAATATAATAATAATACTAATAATAGTACAATATTTTAATATTGGATTGCATTATAATATTATAAATATTATATGTATATACAATTATATTATTAGCATAGTACAATATCAGTTTTATATATTACTATATTGCATTATACCATTATATTGTAATATTATAGGTATATACAATGTATTATATTATTAGCATAGTACAATATCAGCATTATATATTACTATATTCCTTTATACCATTATATAGTAATATTATTAGTAATATAAATATATATAATTATAATATTGTATGTATTATATTGTATTATATTATAATATTATAAATATTATAGGTATATATAATATATTATATTATTAGCATAGTACAATATCAGCATTATATATTACTATATTGCTTTATACCATTATATAGTACTATTATTAGTAATATAAATATATATAATTATAATATTGTATTAGTATTATATTGTATTATATTATAATATTATAAATATTATAGGCATATACAATGTATTATATTATTAGCATAGTACAATATCAGCATTATATATTACTATATTGCTTTATACCATTATATAGTAATATTATTAGTAATATAAATATATATAATTATAATATTGTATTAGTATTATAATATTATAAATACTATACGTATATACAATATGCTATACTATATTATTAGTAAAGCACAGGAGACAAGATGGAACTGACTTTTGCCCCCCTCTCTCTATATCCATATCTCTATCTATCTTTCAATATCTATCTTTCTATCTATATATATCTGTTCATCCATCCATCTTTATCTATCTATGTTTCTATCTACCTATGCACCTAGGCGATGCATTCTGATCACAGTAAGACTGCATTTCCTTTCCTTCCTTACCTTAATCTGGGCGACAGTTTCCTGCCCGGAGACCTCGAGGGCATGGAGACTCTGAGCACGAACAAAGAGCTGCATGGCGAGAGAGACCTGCAAGAGAGGGAAGGAGCCGGCTGCGTTTACTTTCCCCCAAATGGAGGAAGGGGGTAAAGTCCACTGGAAAAGGCCGGCTTGACCACAGAGGTGCAGGTTCTCACCTACAAAGCCCTGAACAGTTTGGGACCCGCCTACCTGCGTGACTGCATTTCTGTGTACAAACTCACACGATCTCTTCAATCGTCCGGAAAGGCCCTGCTCTTGCTCCCGCCCCCTTCGCAGACGCAATTGGTGGGGACGAGGGAGAGGGCCTTCTCGGTGGTGGCCCCTCGACTCTGGAATTTACTTCCCAGGGATATCAGGCATGCCTCAACGCTGGCAGTCTTTGGGAGGAGCCTGAAAACGTGGCTGTTCCAGTGTGCCTTCCCGGAATAAGGAAATAATTCCCAGCAAAATGTCCTCAGAATGCACTTTAACTATTCGTTGGATTGCGCTCCCCTCACTTCTTTAAAACCCTCCTACCAGATATATCCTCCCTTGTTCATGCCCAGCGTTTATTTTTTAACTTTAAACTAACACATTTCGCCTGGCCATAGGTTTTTAAATCTTTGTGTGTTATTGTTTATATGTGATTTATACGAATTGTATTGTTTTTGTTTATTGCTTTCTTGTTTTATTGATGTGTTGTTGGGCTTGGCCTCATGTAAGCTGCTCCAAGTCCCTTGGGGAGATGGTGGCGGGGTAGAGACAACGTTTTATTATTATTATTATCCATAATTTTCATATATATATATATATAAAATATGTGTGTATATAATAAAATAAAATATAAATATGTGTATATATAATTAAATATTTAGATACCCACATGTCTCCAAATAGTAAATAATATAAAGATATTGTGTATCCATAATTTTCATAAATAAATAAGTATATAATATAATTATGTGTACATACAATTAAATATTTAGATACACACACGTTTCCAAATAGTAAATAATATAAAGATATTAATTTAATACAAGATCCTTAATTTAATCAAATTAAATATAAATATGTGTACATATATTTAAACATTTAGATACAGGCACGCCTCTAAAAAGCAAATAACATAAATACATTTGTGTATATTTAATTTCCATAAGTCTATGAATAATATAATATAATGATATAATATAATATATATAAAAATTATGGATACACAATATATTCATATTATCTACTATTTGGAAACGTGTGTGTACCTAAATATTTCATTATATATATACACATATTTATATTTTATTTAATTATATGTACACATATTTATATTATATACATATATTTTTAATGAAAATTATAAATACACAATATACTTATATTATTTACTATTTGGAAACGTGTGTGTATCTAAATATTTCATTATATATACACGTATTTATATTTTCCAAATAGTAGATAATATGAATATATTTGTGTATCCATAATTTTCATATATATTATGTGTACATATAATTAAATAAAATATAAATGTGTCTATATAATTAAATATTGAGATATACACACTTGCAAATAGTAAATAATATAAATATATTGTGTATCCATAGTTTTCATATATATTATGTGTATATATAATTAAATAAAATATAAATATGTGTCTATATAATTAAATATTGAGATACACACACGTTTCCAAATAGTAGATAATATAAATATATTTGTGTATCCATAATTTTCATATATATTATGTGTACATATAATTAAATAAAATATAAATGTGTCTATATAATTAAATATTGAGATATACACACTTGCAAATAGTAAATAATATAAATATATTGTGTATCCATAGTTTTCATATATATTATGTGTATATATAATTAAATAAAATATAAATATGTGTCTATATAATTAAATATTGAGATACACACACGTTTCCAAATAGTAGATAATATAAATATATTTGTGTATCCATAATTTTCATATATATTATGTGTACATATAATTAAATAAAATATAAATGTGTCTATATAATTAAATATTGAGATATACACACTTACAAATAGTAAATAATATAAATATATTGTGTATCCATAGTTTTCATATATATTATGTGTATATATAATTAAATAAAATATAAATATGTGTCTATATAATTAAATATTGAGATACACACACGTTTCCAAACAGTATATAATATAAATATATTTGTGTATCCATATAGTATAAATATGTGTATATATAATTAAATATTTAGATACAGGCACGTCTCCAAATAGTAGATAATTTAAATATATTTGTGTATCCATAATTTTCATAAACATAATATAAATATTATATATAATTAAATATTGAGATATATAGAAACGTATCTAAATAGTAAATGATATAAATATATTGTGTATCCTTAATTTAACTAAATTAAATATAAATATGTGTCTATATATAATTAAGGATTGAGATACACACACGTCTCCAAATAGTAGATAACATAAGTATATTTGTGTATCCATAATTTTCATACATATATATTTTTATATATATAATATAAATGTGTCTATATAATTAAAATATAAATATGTGTCTATATATAATTACATATTTAGATACACACACGTCTCCAAATAGTAGATAACATAAATACATTTGGATATATTTAATGTACATAAGTCTATGAATAATATAACCAGGAGGCCTCTTTCTCTTTCTCTTTCCTGAGGGGCTCACCTTCCTTCCACGCGAGGCGCCAAGATGGAGGCCAGAAGGAAAAGGAAGTCGGAATTGAGAAGCCGGAAGTAGAGGGGGCGGGGCTCTGGCGGGGAGGCACGCGCAGGCGCAGTGATACCAACTCGCCTCTCCTCTCCGGCGGCTTTGGCTTACCAAGTCTCGCGAGATCTGCCTGGCCGCCCGTCCCTATGTGAAGCCTCGCGAGACTTGGCTGGTGACGCCCGGCTCTCTCCTCTCTGCGTCGCGGGCGGCGCCAAACGTCATCGCCTGGCGGCCGGCGCAGAGGTAGACGTCATCAATCGGCGCGACGGGGAAGCGCCAAGATGGCGGCGCTGGCGCTGTCTTTGGCGAGGAGGGAAACCGGGCCCAGGCTTCTCCTCAGCCTCAGCCTCAGGCGGGTAAGGGGAGCCCTCCCTCTTCCTCCTTCCATCCTTCCCTTCCTCCTTCTTCCCTTTCCTCCCTCCTTCCCTTACTTATTTATTTACTTTATTTGTATACCGCTCTTCTCAGCCTCTTCCTCCTTCCACCTTTCCCTTCATTCCTTGCTTCCCTCCCTCCCTTTCATCCTTCTCTTTCCTCCCCCTTCCCTCTCTCCCTTTCTTTTTCCCTCTTTCCCTTCCCCCCTTTCCTTCCTTCCTTCCCTAGTTCTCTTTCCTTGCTTCCTTCCCTCTTTCAACTTTACTTCCTTCTTTCCTTCCTCCTTCCCTTCATTCATTCCTTTTCTCTCCTCCCTCCTTCCCTCTCCCCCTTTACTACTTCTCTTTCCTTCCTTTTTTCCTCCCCCTTCCCTCTCTCCCTTTCTTTTTCCCTCTTTCCCTTCCCCCCTTTCCTTCCTTCCTTCCCTAGTTCTCTTTCCTTGCTTCCTTCCCTCTTTCAACTTTACTTCCTTCTTTCCTTCCTCCTTCCCTTCATTCATTCCTTTTCTTTCCTCCCTCCTTCCCTTAATCTTTCTACTATTCGCTTTCCTCTTTCCTCCCCCTTCCCTCTCCCTTCTTTTTCCCTTTCCCTTCCCCCCTTTCCTTCCTTCCTTCCCTAGTTCTCTTTCCTTGCTTCCTTCCCTCTTTCAACTTTACTTCCTTCTTTCCTTCCTCCTTCCCTTCATTCATTCCTTTTCTCTCCTCCCTCCTTCCCTCTCCCCCTTTACTACTTCTCTTTCCTTCCTTTTTTCCTCCCCCTTCCCTCTCTCCCTTTCTTTTTCCCTCTTTCCCTTCCCCCCTTTCCTTCCTTCCTTCCCTAGTTCTCTTTCCTTGCTTCCTTCCCTCTTTCAACTTTACTTCCTTCTTTCCTTCCTCCTTCCCTTCATTCATTCCTTTTCTCTCCTCCCTCCTTCCCTCTCCCCCTTTACTACTTCTCTTTCCTTCCTTTTTTCCTCCCCCTTCCCTCTCTCCCTTTCTTTTTCCCTCTTTCCCTTCCCCCCTTTCCTTCCTTCCTTCCCTAGTTCTCTTTCCTTGCTTCCTTCCCTCTTTCAACTTTACTTCCTTCTTTCCTTCCTCCTTCCCTTCATTCATTCCTTTTCTTTCCTCCCTCCTTCCCTCTCCCCCTTTCCTTCTCTTTCCTTCCTTTTTTCCTCCCCCTTCCCTCTCTCCCTTTCTTTTTCCCTCTTTCCCTTCCCCCCTTTCCTTCCTTCCTTCCCTAGTTCTCTTTCCTTGCTTCCTTCCCTCTTTCAACTTTACTTCCTTCTTTCCTTCCTCCTTCCCTTCATTCATTCCTTTTCTCTCCTCCCTCCTTCCCTCTCCCCCTTTACTACTTCTCTTTCCTTCCTTTTTTCCTCCCCCTTCCCTCTCTCCCTTTCTTTTTCCCTCTTTCCCTTCCCCCCTTTCCTTCCTTCCTTCCTTCCCTAGTTCTCTTTCCTTGCTTCCTTCCCTCTTTCAACTTTCCTTCCTTCTTTCCTTCCTCCTTCCCTCTTCCTTTCATCCTTCCTTCCTTCCCATTTTCCCCGTCCTTCCTCCCTTTCATTCTTCCGTGCTTCCTTCCGTCCTCCCTTTCCCTTTCTTCCTTCTCTTTCCTTCCTTCCCCTCCACCCTTCTTTCCTCCCTTTCATCCTTCCTTCCTTCCGTCCTCCCTTTCCCTTTCCTCCTTCCTTCTCTTTCATTCCTTCCCTTCCACGCTTCCTTCCTCCTTCCACCCTGCCATCCTTCTTCCTTCCTCCTTTCCTTCATTCAGTCATGCCTCTATTCTGCTTTGGTTAGACCACACCTGGAATATGGTGTCCAATTCTGGGCACCACAATTCAAGAGAGATATTGACAAGCTGGAATGTGTCCAGAGGAGGGCGACTAAAATGATCAAGGGTCTGGAGAACAAGCCCTATGAGGAGCGGCTTAGGGAACTGGGCATGTTTAGCCTGAAGAAGAGAAGGATGAGAGGAGATATGATGAGGGCCATGTATAAATACGTGAGAGGAAGCCACAGGGAGGAGGGCAAGCTTCCTTTCTGCTTCCTTGGAGACTAGGACGCAATGGAACAATGGCTTCAAACTACAAGAGAGGAGATTCCATCTGGACATGAGGAAGAACTTCCTGACTGTGAGAGCCGTTCAGCAGTGGAACTCTCTGCCCCGGAGAGTGTGGTGGAGGCTCCTTCTTTGGAAGCTTTGAAACAGAGGCTGGATGGCCATCTGTCAGGGGTGCTTTGAATGCAATATTCCTGCTTCTTGGCAGGGGGTTGGACTGGATGGCCCATGAGGTCTCTTCCAACTCTATGATTCTATGAATTGATGCTTCAAAATCTCCTATTTCATTCCTCCCTTCATACCTTCCTTCTTCTCCCTTCCCTCCCTTTCTTTTCCTTCCTCCTTCCCTTATTCCTTCCTTCTCTTTCCTTCCTTCCTTCCTTCCCTCTTCCTTCCCCCCCCTTTCCTTATCCTTTCCCTCTCACTTTCTCCTTCCATCTTTCCCAACCTCCCTTTTCTCTTTCCTTCCTTCCTCCTTCCCTCCCTTTCCTTCTTTCTCCCTTCACTCTTTCCTCCTTCTTTACCTCTCTTTCTCATTCAATCTTTCCTTTCTTCCTTCTTTCCTTCCTTCCTCCTTCCCTTCCATCACTGAGCAATCAGCCCCCCCCCCCCAAGTTAGAAACTCAGCCCCTGCCTGTGTTCTCCTTCCCTTCTTGCAGAGCTCGGTGTCAACGGATCCCAGATACCCCGGCATCCAGGAGTCCAGTGAGGAATATCACTTTGTGGAGAGGCTCATCCCTCCCACCCGAGTCCCGGAGCCCCCAAAGCACGAGAAATACCCCACGCCCTCCGGGTGGAGACCCCCACAAGGTTCTTATATATTCATTTCTCCATTTTTGCTTCAAGAATTTTACTTCTTATGAATTGCAATATTTCATCCTATTTCAATATTTTGATTTTGTCGTTTTTGTAAAGAAAAGTGCGTGTGTTTTGTTGGAGCATGCAAGGAAATGCAGAGATAAGAAATATTTTGTATATTTTTAAGGTTTGGTTTTGCGAAAATAAGGCTGTTATGTTTGTTTATTTACGGCAAATAAAGGGGAGACTCCGAGCACCTTACAAGTTATACGTAAATACAAAATATTATATTATTAGCATAGCACAATATTAGTAACATACATTCCCATATTGTACTACAATATTATTAATAATGTTACATGTAATATTGTATTATTAGTAGTAGTATTATATTGTATTATATGCATTATTATGTTATATATATTAGTATATACTAGTGTATTGTATTATATGGCAATATGACTGGCGAGACGGTTTCTCTCTCCCTTCCTTCCTCCCTCCAGATCCGCCTCCTGACCTGCCTTTCTTTGTCCGCCGGTCGCGCATGCACAACGTCCCCGTTTACACGGACGTCACCCACGGGTGCAGGAAGATGACCGTCATCCGGAAGATCGAAGGCGACATCTGGGTAAAGTGGCCCCTCGGAGGGGTAAAGTGGCCCCCTGATCCGGGGTAAAGTGTCCCCTTGAACCCCCTCTGGAGATTTTTAGGCGACCCAATGGATACACTCCGTTTGATTTTTAAAAAGCAGAATTAAGTCACTATCATCAGGCCAGGCTTTGAAGCTACAAGGCCATCCAATGCTAATCACGCTGGCCAATTGCAACATTCAGATTTGCCTCCAGTAGACAAAGAGTTCTTTCTCCCACCCTGGACATTCTGCAGGTATTTTCGTAGTTTCCAACAGACCCTTCAACCTCTGAGGATGCCTGCTATAGATGTGGTCAAAATGTCAGGAGAGAATGCTCCTGGAACAAGGGCAGACAGCCAGGGATTCTGGCCACGAAAACCTATGACACATAGCAAACTATATGATTTTATATATGTGTATATAAAATACAATACCGAGTTGTGGCGCAGCTGGTTTGGCATCAGCTACATTAAAATCACTACTGACTGGAAGGTCATGAGTTCGAAAACAGCCCGGGTCGGAGTAAGCTCCTGACCATTCTGTCTAGCTTGCTGTTGACCCGAAAGACAGTTTCACCTCTGAGGATGGATTAGAAAATAATAATACAAGAATGAAATAGAAAATAATGGAATAGAGTAATATGAGGATGTGATACAATAATGTGAGAATGGAATAGAATAATAGGGATATATTAGAATATAATAATAATAATAATAATAATAATAATAATATTTTATTAATGAATTTATGACCTGCCTCTGTAATTCAGTATGTGAAAATAGAATATAATAATAATATAATATATTAATGAATTTATGACCGGCCTCTGCAATTCAGTATGTGAAAAATAATAGAATACAATAATAATATATATTAATTTATGACCTGCCTCTGCAATTCAGTATGTGAAAAATAATAGAATAATATAATATATTATTGAATTTATGACCTGCCTCTACAATTCAGTATGTGAAAAATAATAGAATACAATAATAATATATATTAATTTATGACCTGCCTCTGCAGTTCAATATGTGAAAAATATAATAATAATAATAATTTATTAATGAATTTATGATCTGCTTCTGCAATTCAGTATGTGAATAATAATAATAATAATATATTAATGAATTTATGACCGGCCTCTGCAATTCAGTATGTGAAAAATAATAGAATATAATATATTATTGAATTTATGACCTGCCTCTGCAATTCAGTATGTGAAAGATAATAGAATAATAATGTAATATATTAATGAATTTATGACCGGCCTCTGCAATTCAGTATGTGAATAATAATAATAATAATAATAATAATAATAATAATAATAATAATATATTAATGAATTTATGACCTGCCTCTGCAATTCAATATGTGATTTCCCCCCTTTAATTGCCACTGCTGCATCCTATGTAACTGTCTTTTCTCAAGGCCTTGTCCCAAACTACACATCCCAGCATCCCATGGGATGTTGCCATGGCAGCAGTAGTGTAATGGGGTGGGAAGGGGCTCCGCAACGGGTCCCTTTTCTCTTTTGGAGCTGACTTTCCGTCTCCCTTTTTTGTCCCGCAGGCCCTCGAGAGGGAAGTGAAGGCCTTCCTGACGGATCTGTCTGGAGAGACGCCCCTGACGCAAGTCAACGAAGTGGCCTCCAGCCTCCGCATCAAGGGCTACTTCGACAAGGAGTTAAAGGCCTGGCTGGTGGACAAAGGCTTCTGAATTCAGAACAATAATAATAAAATTTGAAGGGGGGGGGGGTGTCTTGCAAGAGAATAGTTATTGATGTTATTATGTTTCCTAGCTAGCTAAAATTTCAAAATAAAATTCTTAAAAATCAGTGGATGCACCAATATTTCTGAAACTTGGCAGAATCCATGCCCTGCTCACAAAAGCTGTGATTGGCCGGCCTCTCAGCCAAGGGGAGGGGCTGTTTCTGAGACTCCAAGTCGAGAGGGGAGAGCAGGTGTGTAGAATAATAATAATAATAATAATAATAATAATAATGTAATATAATATAATAATAAGGGTTAATGCGAGGCCAGGTGTCAAAGGGTAGAGAATAATAATAATAATAATAATAATAATACATCACAGTCCTAGACACTTGGGAAGGGTTCAGCTTGTGATGTTGTGATACGAAATCCAGCAAAGAGATCTCGTTTGCTGTGTCAAACTGTGCTTTTGTGTCAGTAAAACAATAATAATAATAATGTAATATTATATAATAATAATAAGGGTTAATGTGAGGCCAGGTGTCAAAGGGTAGAGAATAATAATAATAATAATAATAATAATAATAATAATAATAATATCACAGTCCTAGAGGTTTGGGAAGTGTTCGACTTGTGATGTTGTGATATGAAATCCAGCATACAGATCTCATTTGCTGTGAGACATACTGTGCTTTTTTGTCAATAATAATAATAATAAGTAATATAATATAATAATAAAAGGGTTAATGTGAGGCCAGGTGTCAAAGGGTAGAGAATAATAATAATACATCACACAGTCCTAGGCACTTGGGAAGTGTTCGACTTGTGATGTTGTGATACGAAATCCAGCATAGAGATCTCGTTTTCTGTGACATATGGTACTTTTGTATCAGTAAAATAATAATAATGTAATAAGGGTTAATGTGAGGCCAGGTGTCAAAGCGTAGAGAATAATAATAATAATAATAATAATAATAATAATAATAAATCACATAGTCCTAGATGTTTGGGAAGTGTTTGACTTGTGATGTTGTGATACGAAATCCAGCATTGTTTGCTGTGACATACTGTGTTTCTGTGTCAGTATAATAATTATAATATAATATAATAATAAGGGTTAATGTGAAGCCAGGTGTCAAAGGGTAGAGAATAATAATAATAATAATAATAATAATATCACACAGTCCTAGATGCTTGGAAGGTGTTCGACTTGTGATGTTGTGATATGAAATCCAGCATATAGGTCTCATTTGCTGTGACATACTGTTTCTGTGTCAGTAAAATAATAATAATAATGTAATATAATAATAAGGGTTAATGCGAGGCCAGGTGTCAAAGGGTAGAGAATAATAATAATAATAATACATCACACAGTCCTAGACGCTTGGGAAGTGTTCAATTTGTGATGTTGTGATACGAAATCCAGCATAGAGATCTCATTTGCTGTGAGACATACTGTGTTTCTGTGTCAGTAATAATAATAACAATAATAATAAAAAGTTTATTTATCCCCCACTCTTTCTCTTCACAAAGGAGACTCGATAATAATAATAATAATATTTAAAAAAATACCTTCATCTTCCAACAGACACCGAAGCTCAGAATTTCTCAAACGACACTGTAATTCGGGTTTATTTACATGTGAAACAGGCGGAAGGGGAAGCGTACAAAAGAGGAAGTCCCGCCTCCGAAGGGCTCGGGAATCATCCAAAGTCCGTTTTGCGGCTGGGCGGCTTCGTTTTTTGCTTGTTTGCGGGCCAAACACCCAGGAGGAGGCCTTTGTTTGGGGTGTCCTTCTCAGGTTTGCTGCTGGTAATACTGGTTGTAGTTCCACGCGTTCTGGTATCCGTAGTTGCTGTAGTTCTGCAATGAGGAAGGGGAAGTTTAGGGCAAACTCGATGCTTTTGGAAGGTGGCCAGACAGCCCTGAACACTCACAGCAAGGCAGTGATTCCACCATGAAAGCCTTTGACAACATCACTATATATATATATATATATATATATATACATACATACATACATGCATGCATACACACACACACACACACACACACAAACACACACACATATATATTAATATGTAATAATGATTATGTATTACTACTATAAATATAATACAAACTAATATAGAATGATTAGATATTACAACTACTATTAATACAATACAAACTAATATATAATAATGATTATATATATATTATATATATAATATAATGATTATATATATTACTACTATTACTACTAATATTAATATAATACAAATATATAATGATTATGTATTACTACTACTAACATAAAATGTAATGCAAACTAATATATGATTATATAATACTAATTCTAATATTAATATAATACAATCTAATATATAATAATTATTATATATTACTACCACTAATACAAAATATAGTACACACCAATATATAACAATGATTATATATTACTACTAATATTAATATAACACAAACTAATATATAATAATGATTATATATTATTACTACTACTAATAGGATAATACAGACTAATATATAATCATTATTATATATTACTACTACTAATATTAATATAATACAAACTAATATATAATTAGATAGTATTGCTACTACTAATATTAGTATAATACAAACTAATATACAATAATGATTATATATTATTACTACTACTAATAGTATAATACAGACTAATATATAATTATTATATATTACTACTACTAATATTAATATAATACAAACTAATATATAACAATGATTATATATTATGACTAATATTAATATTACAAATATGTAATAATGATTATATATTACGACTACTATTATTGATATAATACAAACTAATATATAATAATGATTATATATTAGGTAAAGGTAGTCCCCTGACATTAAGTCCAGTCATGTCCGACTCTGGGACTCTGGTGCTCATCTCCATTTCTAAGCCGAAGAGCCAGCGTTGTCCGTAGACACCTCCAAGGTCATGTGGCCATAGGCATGACTGCATGGAGCACCGTTATATATTACGACTACTAATATTAATATAATACAGATATGTAATAATGATTGGATATTATTACTTCTAAAAATATTAATATAATACACACTAATAGTAAAAATAGTTCTGCATCTTCCATAGCACTGAGCCAAGGCAATTGCCCTCGCATTGAACCAAGGCCGGGGGCTCACCTGGTACCAGGCGTTGTAGTTGTAGGCGCTCCCGGTGGCGCTGTTGGCCACGTCGGCGGCCATTAAGGGTGTGATGCCGGTCGTGGCCACAGCCAGGCTGCCCCCGCCGGCCTCTTCCAGCCTCAGGCGCTTCTCGTCCAACTCCTCAGCGCTCCTGCAGAAGGCAAATAATAATAATAACAACAATAATAATAATGTGTCCAACGTGTGATCCAATACAACAGCCAACAGAGTTTCCTATGGACTCATCTTGTTGTGTTTCAAATAATAATAATAATAATAATAATAGATCTTGTTTGCTCTGTTGTGTTAATAATAATAATACAATAGACTCTCAGTTTTCTCATTACACTCATGGAGATTGGGAGAGACCAGAATAACAACAACATAGACTCAGCCATCCTATGGCACGCATGCGGATTGGGAGAAGCCATAATAATAATAATAATAATAATAGTAATAATAATAATCATAACTACTTGGGAAGTGTCCGATGTGTGATCCAATTCAAGAGTCAGCAGAGTGATCTTGTTTGCCGTGTGTTGTGTATCACATAATAATAATAATAATAATAAAATAGACTCTCAGCTATCTCATTGCACTCATGGAGATTGGGAAAGGCCAGAATAACAACAACAACAACAACATAGACTCAGCTAACCCATGGCACATGGCACACATGGGGAGAAGCCATGATAATAATAGTTGTTCTTATTATTATTATTATTATTATTATTATTAGGGAAGTGTCTGATCCAATACAACAGCCAGCAGAGTGAACTTGTTTGCTGTGGACTCATCGTGTTGTGTTTCAAATAATAATAATAATAATAATGATGATGATGATGATAATGATGCAGACTCCCAGCTAACCCTATGCACCAAAGGAGATTGGAAAAGGCAATATTAATAATAATAGTAATAATAATAATATGATAGACTCACACTTACGGAGATAGGGAGAGGCCAGAATAACAACAACAGCTAACCCATGGCATGCATGGGGATTGAGAGAAACCATAATAACAATAATAATAATAATAATAATAATAATAGGGAAGTATTGGATGTGTGATCCAATACAACAGTCAGCAGAGTGGACCTGTTTGCTGTGGACTCATCGTAGTAATAATAATAATAATATTAATACAATAGACTCCCAGCTAAACCTATGCAATCAAGGAGATTGGAAGAGGCAGATCTGGCGTGCATTACGGAGACCTGGCTGGATGAAGCTGGGGGGGTGAATCTGACCCAGCTTTGTCCTCCAGGGTTCTCCGTACAGCACCAACCGAGATCCGGAGGACGGGGAGGCGGGGTTGCAGTGGTCTATAGAGATTCCATCCATCTGACCAGGAGCCCCATCCCGCAGACCACAAATTTTGAATGTGTCCACCTAAGGGTGGGTGGACCGGGACAGAATAGGGATTCTGTTAGTGTACCGTCCACCTCGCTGCACTACAGTCTCCCTACCTGAGCTAGCGGGGGTGGTCTCGAGCCTGGCATTGGAGTCTCAACGGCTTCTTGTGCTGGGAGACTTCAATCCATGCCGAGGCGACCCTCACAGGAGCGGCTCAGGACTTCATGTCTGCCATGGCAACCATGGGGCTGTCCCAACAAATATCTGGCCCCACCCATTGTGCTGGACACACATTGGACTTGGTTTTCTGCCAGGGATGGGAGCAGGGTGGCGGTGTGGAGGAGTTGTCTATCTCTCCGTTGCCATGGACTGACCACTTCCTGATCAGATTTAGGCTCACTGCACCCCTAACCTCCGCAAAGGTGGAGGACCCATTAAGATGGTCCGCCCCAGGAGGCTTATGGATCCGAATGGATTCCTGACGGCTCTTGGGGATTTTCCCGCCACCTCGGTAGGTGACCATGTCGAGGCCTTGGTCGCTCTCTGGAATGGGGAGATGGCCAGGGCAATTGACGTGATCGCTCCGGAACGTCCCCTCTCAAGTAGCCGAGCTAAACCAGCTCCTTGGTTTACCGAGGAGTTGGCAGTGATGAAGCGAAGGAAGAGGGAACTAGAGAGCGTGTGGCGTTCGGACCCAAGCGAGCCAAATCGAGCACAGTTTGTGTCCTTCTTAAGGGCATATGCCGCGGCAATAAAAGCCGCAAAGAAAAGTTTCTTTGCGGCCACTATTGCGTCTGCAATAAACCGTCCGGCGGAGTTGTTCCGGATTGTCAGAGGTCTTTTAACTCCCGCCACCTCAGGCGGGAGCCCTGACAACTCGGTCACGCGCTGCGAAGCATTTGCTCGGTTCTTTGCAGACAAAGTCGCTTTGATCCGTTCTGGGCTGGACACCATGTTAAATGCAGTCTCTGAGGATGTGACACGAGCACCTGCTTGTCCTATTTTGATGGATTCTTTTCAGTTTGTGAAGCCCGAGGATGTGGACAAGATACTTGGAGGAATGAGGCCCACCACGTCCATCCTAGACCCCTGCCCATCCTGGCTTCTAAAGGAGGCCAGAGGGGGATTGGCTGAGTGGGTGGAGGTGGTGGTCAACGCCTCCCTTCAGGAAGGCAGAATTCCAGCGAGCTTAAAACAAGCTATAATAAAACCGCTTTTGAAAAAACCATCACTGGACCCACTAAATTTGACAACTTTCGGCCTGTTTCCAATCTTCCCTTTTTGGGCAAAGTCATGGAAAGCGTGGTGGCCTCAAAACTCCAGGTATTCTTGAGAGACACGGATATTCTGGATCCGGCACAGTCTGGTTTCAGACCGGGACATGGAACCGAGACGGTCTTGGTCGCCTTAGTGGATGATCTGCGCCGGGAGCTAGACAGGGGGAGTGTGTCCCTGTTGGTGCTCCTGGACCTCTCAGCGGCCTTCGATACCGTCGACCACGGTATCCTTCTGGGGCGCCTTGCGGAAATGGGTCTTGGGGGCACTGCTCAGCAGTGGCTCCAGTCATTTCTGGAGGGTCGTACTCAGAAGGTGTTATTGGGGGACTCCTGTTCAACACCACAGCCTTTGACCTGTGGGGTTCCACAGGGCTCTATACTGTCCCCCATGCTGTTTAATATCTACATGAAGCCGCTGGGTGAGATCATCCGGAGTTTCGGGGTGCGGTGTCATCTGTACGCAGATGATGTCCAACTCTGTCACTCCTTCCCACCTGCTACTAAGGAGGCTGTCGAGGTCCTGAACCGGTGCCGGGCCGCTGTAATGGTCTGGATGAGGGCGAACAAACTGAAATTAAATCCAGACAAGACAGAGGTACTCCTGGTCAGTCGCAAGGCCGAACAGGGTATAGGGTTACAGCCTGTGCTGGACGGGGTCGCACTCCCCTTGAAGGCGCAGGTTCGCAGCTTGGGGGTGACCCTGGATTCATCGTTGAGCCTGGATCCCCAGGTTTCAGCGGTGACCAGGGGAGCATTTGCACAGCTTCGGCTCGTGCGCCAGCTGCGCCCGTACCTTGGGAAGTCTGACTTGGCCACGGTGGTACACGCTCTGGTCACATCCCGCCTTGACTACTGCAACGCTCTCTACGTGGGGCTGCCCTTGAAGACGGCCCGGAAGCTTCAGCTAGTTCAGCGCGCGGCAGCCATGTTACTAACGGGAGCAGGACGCAGGGAGCATACAACGCCCTTGTTGTCCCAGCTCCACTGGCTGCCGATTTGCTACCGGGCCCAATTTAAGGTGCTGGTGTTATCCTACAAAGCCCTAAACGGTTCCGGCCCAAAATACCTTTCGGACCGCATCTTGGCCTATGAGCCCACGAGGACCTTGAGATCGTCTGGGGAGGCCCTTCTCTCGATCCCGCCTGCTTCACAGGCACGTCTGGCGGGGACGAGAGAAAGGGCCTTCTCGGTGGTGGCCCCCCGGCTGTGGAACGACCTCCCTGCTGACATCAGACAGGCGCCTTCCCTTCTGTCCTTTCCGGAAGAGCCTAAAGACCTGGCTCTTCGAGAGGGCATTCAACTAGTGCCAGACGAACTGATAATGACAATCGGAATGGAATATGGATTATGAGATTGGTAGGCTCCTATGTTGTGACGGTGCGGATTAGTTAGTATAATTAGATTAATTGTGTAATTATGGCTTGTTGATGTACTGTGTGTTTTTTGTAAAATGTTTTTATATGTTGTACACCGCCGCGAGTTGCCCTAGGGCTGAGAGCGGCGGTCAACAAATGCATCAAATAAATAAATAAATAAATAATATTAATACAATAGACTCCCAGCTAACCCTATGAACTCAAGGAAATTGGAAGAGGCAATAATAATAGTAATAATAATAATACTACAATACCCGTTTTCGAGGAGCCTCTTCCTCAGCATCTGTTGATTCAGGAGCTTCTGATGCTCATCGTACGACACCAACAAGCTGGAAGAGAGGGTGGGGATGGCGTTGAGGACGGGACGAGGCCGGAAGAGGGGCACTATGGGGCCCCCGGTGGCGTCCCCTGCTCGGGCCCCCCTACCTGTGGATGCTGGAGCCAAAGTCCTCCAGGAACTCGACCCGTCGCTGGGAGAAGATGATCTTGGTCTCGAGGGGGAGGCCGCTGGTCAAGGCCCGGTCGAAGCTGCTCATGGTGTGGCCCTCGTTCTGGCGCACGTCCGCACTGAACTCCATCTCCAGCAGGTTGGCGTACAGCTTGGCGTTGTCCTATGGGGTCAATAATCATTTAATATAACATAACAATAACCATAGTATGAATAATATATAATATGATCTAGTAGTACTAATACTACATAATAATAATAATAATAATAATAATAATAATAATAATAATATATTTATACCCCGCCACCATCTCCCCAATGGGGACTCGGGGAGGCTTACATGTGGCCAAGCCCAACAGTATTACACTACGCTAATCCTAAGAGAAACTATGCTTACGGGGTCCTTCTCGAGGGCCTCGAGGAGGATCTTGCGGGCCTTGGCGATGTTCTTCTGGACCTTGAGGACCTGGCGGGCCAGCTTGACCGAGTAGAAAGAGGAGACGGGGAGGCCCTCGTTCTCCCGGATGGCGGCCGCCAGCAGCGCCTCCGCCCCCTCCATGTTGCCCTGCCGCCGCTCCAGGCTCACCCGCCGCAGGCGCACCATTGCCAGGCCCGGGACGCACTCCTCAAAGGTGCGCAGGATGCGCCGCGCCTCCTCCACCTCCCCTGCAGCAGCAGAAGGAAGGAAGCACACCGGAAACAGCGGTCAAAAGGGGCCCCCAAAGGACATCCAGACCGGGCCAAGTCTCACCCAGTCTCTACTTAATAACATTCAGAATAACAACAATAACAGAATCATAGACTCCCAAACAATGCCTACCCAGTCTCTATTTAGTAGTAGTAATGTTATTATTATTATTATTATTATTATTATTATTATTATTATTGTTGTTGTTGTTGTTAATAATAATAAATAGAATCAGACTCCAACCAATGCCCGCCCAGTCTCTATTTAGCATTAGTAGTAGTAATAATAATAATTAATAAATAATAATAAAAATAGAATCAGATTCCCAACCAATGCCCGCCCAGTCTCTATTTAGTATTAGTAGTAGTAGTAATAATAATAATAATAATATTAGAATCAGACTCCCAACCAATGCCTACCCAGTCTCTATTTAGTAGTAGTAGTAGTA